TGTGAGGTCAAAGCCAACCTGGGTTATATTTCGAGTTCAAAAGCCAGCCTGCGCTCCACAGTAAGGCCTTTTCTCAAAAAAAAAAAAAAAAGAAAAAGAAAAAGAAAAAGAAAAAGAAAGAAAGAAAGAAAGAAAAGAAAAAGAAAAGAAAAGAAAAGAAAAGAAAAGAAAAGAAAAGAAAGAAAAAACAATTTTTTGGTCAAGACGCATCCCTCTGCACTCCTTCTAAAGCCAGGATTACATTGGTTGATACAGTTTATTTTGGATGTCCTCCTCTTCATTAACAAACTCCACCCAAAAATGAACCCTACTCTAACTCCAAAAAGGTAACCTTCTATAGGCTGGATAGCTGGAACCCCCAAAAAGATTTTTTTTCAACACCCAGTACATGTCAGCTTCTAGAAAAGGTGTTTCTAAATTCTCCAAGCTGAGAAAGGTACTCCTCCTGGTTTTCTATAACAACCTGTGCATACTTCTACCACAACCCTTCATACATCATAATGCAATTGTTGACCTGCTGCCTCCCTACCAGATTATGAGCTCCTGAGAATAGAGGTTTGTATTATTCAGCTGTATTAGCCTCTAGAACAGTGGTGGCAAACCTATGGCACACGTGCTGCAGTGGGCTGTTTGTACCATGAAAGGCTCTAAAAGTTTTGCCATGGCTGCGCTTTTTAACCTAAAAGCACTTAATACTTATAAAAGCAATAACTGGACAAGAAGTGGGTACTGCAGGTAGTCACTGCGTCCAAAGCCATTTCACATCGCTTAACTGGGAAAGGCAATGGCGCCTCCTGGTGGTCAAGAGGGAAGTACATCTTGCTGAACAAGAAGTTTCAAATCACTGCTCCAGGGGTTGTTCTAGAAGAATGACCAGCTGCCAGGCTCTATGTTCATGGAGGCTGGCCAAGGGAGAGACGTATGCAGTGGGCGGGCCTGAGGCCTTCCTCACTGGAGGAGTGCTCCACCATGGGACAGGAAGATCCCATTCTTTCCCGAGATAACCTTTTCATGCGTGGAGATCCTGATGCTGGAAAGAGGCTTTTATGACAACCAGTACCTGGAAAGGCACTTTCCTTTAAAAGAAAAATGATCTTAAAAAAAAGAAAGAAAAAGAAAAATGATCTTTGCTTTATAACCAGCTTCTTAACAAAAGCAGCATATGAACAGCACCAAGCAACATGTGTGAGCCGCTGAGATCAACACCGGGGCTCTGCACAGACAGGACCTGGAAGGCGGGAAGGCTCTGCTGCCTGGGAGACACTGGCTGGGGCTTGACTGCAGGACCTGTGTGTCTCACTAAGCTCATTGTGCATTTCATGTCCCCTCTTCTTCCCCCACCTCACTCTCAGAATGTTTAGCCTTTTGGTTTGCCAGGCCCACACTGGGCTGCACATAAAATATGTAATTTAATGTATAAAGTCACAAAACTTCCTGTGAATTAACTAAAGGGCCACTTGCAACACCCAGCTGGCCTCAGTCAGCATAGCTCTGGGGGTGGAAGACCCACCTGAGGATGGTTTTCCCATCCAAGTACTAAAAAGGCCCGACCTTGCTTAGCTTCCCAGATCAGATGAGATCGGGCGCGTTCAGGGTGGTATGGCTGTAGACTAGGATGGTTTTCAAAAACATAAAAGGAGAACTGCAGGGGAAGGTGGTGATTTTCCTGGAGAAGTTCGTTGCTCTGGTTTTCCTGATATTAAGGCAGCTGTTTTCATCACCGGGGTCCTCGCTGTCACTGTGGATGGCCGCGTTTCTTTTCAGAGGCGGTCTGGTCTTTACCTTAAGTGTTGCGTCCTGGCCCCAGTGCAGATCCCCCAGCCTGCTGGCACAGACCCTTTGTTCTACTGGCACGGATCCTGGCTCTCCAGCTGGATCCTTTGGGTTTCTTGCAGTCTTCTGCATTTGACTTTTTGGGTGACTATTATAAAATAACCTTATAATGTATTCTGTGCTGAATCTATTCCCTTGCAAATGCTTTTTTATGCCTTTATTTTTATAAATTTTGAAAGGGGGACGAGCAGCCTGCAGATTACACATGCATTCTGGAACATAATCTAGAGCAATGTGACTCAAAGTGCCACACCATAAATGGCTGGTGGTACGGCTTATGACTAGATGTTCCCCAAAGCCTCATGCAGTCATAGGCGGGGCTCTTTCCGAGGGCTTGGATCTAGCATGTGACTGACTCAGGGTGTGGTGCTAGCATTGAGGGTGGGTGATTACACAATCCGCCCAGTGACTGGACCGGAGCACCCTAACCCCAACAGACTGGACACGATGTAAGGGACACGAAGAGGCTTGCCTTGTCCCTCATGGCTTCGCTACCCTCTGCCCCATGAACTGTCTCTCCTGTGATGCCACCCTACCTTGGGGCCAGCTGATTATGGACTGCAACCTCCACAGACTGGGAGCTAAAGAAACGTTTTCTCCCTTAATTTTGGGCATTGGATATTTTGTCATAGCAATAAGTAGCTAAGACAGCTTGTCACCAGTCTATAGTGAAGTAAAGACAGAATTGAGTATAAGCAAAGAGAACTTTAAGAGAAATCTGTCAGGTTAATTTCTGCTGATCTAATAAAAATAGGCCTTATATTAAAAAAAGAAAAAAAAAAAAAGAACCACCTGATGATTACAGAGGCAGGAAGGATAGAGGAGGCAGGAAGGATAGTGAGGAGGCAGGAAGGAGGAGCGCCAGCTGGGAGGTTGTCAGTGGGGTGAAGTCCAGCTCAGGACTGATTTTTCTTTTTCCTCTCAGCTGAGCACTGGCATGGACAGATTCTAATTCTGTGCAATGATCCAGAGGTCCCCACTTTCAGGTGTTCACCCCTTGTGAAATCCTCATTTGTGGGCTGGCCTAGTAACTAAGCAACAGAACACAACAAAGGTGATGGGAGGTCACTTTTGTGATCAGACTGTATGTCTAACTTCCGTCTTGCTGGCGGACTCGCCTCTGTTAGGACTGATGATGGAAGTTGCCATGTGGTGAAGGTTTGTGTGGAAAGGAGCTGCGGTGACCTCTGGCAACTGTGGGCTCCTAAGAGAAGGCCCCGAGTCCAAGTCTTGTGAAACTGAACCTCTGCCAACGATGTAAGTGGACTGGCAAGCAGATCCCTCCCAGGAAGGCCTTAAGAGCCCAGCCTCAGCCAATAACCAGTCTTGCAGATGCCAGGGAAATCCTGAAGCAGAAGATCCAGCAAAATTACGCTTGAACACTTGGCCTACAAAACTATGAAGTAGCAAGGGATGTGTAGTTTTAAACCATAAAATTTACGGCAATATATTTAACAGCTGAGCACCTGCTAATGTGCCATTACCATATAGGTCAGAACCTGCTGAAAACCTGAGAAACTTCCTGCAGTCAGAATCAACTACTAATATCCCTTCCCTCCAGCTCTGCAGCATTCCAACCAAGAGGCTTTTAAAGCCAATTCCACAAGATGTCCCTGTGTGAACAGAGTAACCAGTATGTTATGGCATGTTCTAGTTGTCCCCCCAAAGCCTCATGCAGCCACTGGGGCAAACTTCTAGAGTTTGTGATTAATTCATGATCCAGTGCTGGGATTATGGCTGTGAGTGCTACACCTGCCTCGGAGCAGACAACCTGAATACAATATAAGGAAAGGAGAGAGGCTGGCTAGCTACACCCTTCTGCCCTTTGTTCTTCACTGTTTTCCACCGCCATGCACTGCTGCCCTCAGCCCTGTGCCACTCTGCCTTGGAGCCAGCTGAGTAAGGACTGAAACCTCCACAGACATGAGCTAAACCAACCTTTCCTTCCTTAATTTTGGGTGACAGGTATTTTGCCCCAGCAATGAGAGAAAAGTAACCAAGACACAGTACAATAGGTGATCTCGCCAGATCACTTCAAGCCCCTCTCCAAGGTCACACTGTAGTTGAAACATTTACAGCTTACAAGAACAGCAGCTTATAGGGAAAGGCGATGAAAAAGGGACAGGGGTAGGGCATTATGAGGTAGATCAGCATGAGCAACACCCAGTCAGAAAGGAACATGGCAATTCTGAGTAAGTGCACATCTCTTATCCTTTTTACAGAGAATAGCAGGTGACATGGCACTGAAGGAAGCTCAGCCATGACTGATGCTATAAATAGTTGATTTTGCTGAACAAATAGAAAGAGTCCTACAAGAACCTAGTAAGAATTACAATTAGAATAAATTAGCCCAATAACCTGTTTGATTTGTCAATTATTCTGGTCAAAATTACTTTCAGTCTAGAGTAACTCATAATCAACATGTTGGCTGTTTTCCTTTTTTATTTATTTTATTTTTATTATTTTGTGTGTGTGTGTGGCTGGCTCAGCCCACCCTGGGGTCAGGGCTGGCACAGCATGTGGTGCCAGGGATTGAACCAAGGTCCCTGCACACTTGCCTAAGCTTGTCCACGCAAGCGCTTTAGACCGCTGAGCTATCTCGCTGGCCCTGTTTCTTACTCCCACTCACCTACATTCTCTTGCACAATATCATATGTAAGTTGCCATTTAATGGATACGATCTGTTTGGGCACCTGAGCTCAGGATCTCTGCCCCCCATGAGGCTACGAGGTAAGTTCAGCAACAGTTCATGACTTTACCTCTTCCAGTTCTAAATCTATGGGAGTTGAGGGTGACCTTCCCAACCCAGCTGTGCTGCTGCCTCAGACTTTCTAGTCACTCTCACTATGTGGAATGGGCAGAAAGGCAAACCAGACCTCAGCAGTAGCAGACACTCCACAACACCAACACTCTTATCCAGCATATTTTTTTTAATCATCCTCCAGGAGCCAACACTCTGGTTACCAGGTGACTCTGAAGCTGGTGGTGCACCAGTTGTGGAACAGCTTGACCCTAACCTGAAACAAAACCAACAACAGGTCCCTCTGGAAAATGACCCACAAAGCTTTCTATGGGAACAAGAGTTTTGGTTTTTTGTTTTGTTTTTCTGGGTTTTTTGGGTTTTTGTTGTTGTTGTTGTTGTTGTTGTTGTTGTTGTTGTTTTTGGCAGAACTGGGGATTGAACTCAGGCCCTTGCACTTGCTAAGCAAGTGCTTATTCTGAGCCATCTCCCCGGCCCCAGAAGAGTCTTCTTTAGCGCTCTGGCTGAAAAGAATAATAGCTGCAGATGAAAAAAGTGGACTGGCCAGTCCCCTGAAACTCACTGGCTGGGTGTTAGTGGCCCTGAGAGGATCCCAAAGGAAAGTGCTGATTCTTTTCATCCTAACTAAAGGCAGTAACAACAGGGTCAGTCACACATGGCACCATTCCAAGATTCAGCTACGTGCCCTCGGTTCCCATGAACACTTCCGTCAAGGCAGAGCATCAGGGCAACAAGGAGGCGATGTTCAGGCCTTGTGAGAGCTGCTGGTCAGGGGCCACGCTCAATGACTCAGTCCCTGGAAGATGGGCTCAGTGCACGGGGGCATAGCCACTGGCTGGTTTAGCAGTCTGTTCATTATGCTGAGTCTAGAGTCTTGCTTCTCAATGTCCTCATAGGGAGTCCAGGACAAGTCATGCTGCAGCTTGTAGGCTCCAAGGAAGTCGTGTGGACAACTTGCTCCCCATTCCTACAGCAGACAAAGGAGTTGGTTCTGATCAGGGTAGGATGCAAGCACACAAAAAGCTGTTCCCACTCAGGCCACACATCGCTTGTTGGTTTTTGCTTTGGACTACTCAGAACCATCCTTGGAAGGCAGCCACCACACACCAGATCCCTCAATGCAGAAAACGAACAAATTAATCTAATGTGCTCACAATGAGGCTGTGATTCAGGTCTCATTGCTAGGTGGCTCTGAACCAGTGGTGGTTCAAACTTAACTGTCCCACTGGGTGGCAGGGATAGTCTCACATGTACTACTGCTGGCTCAACCATGCCAGCAGGAATGTGTTAAACATACATGCATTCTTTTAGAGTTATGTCTGGCTTATATCACCTTTAATTTTCTAAGATATCACTTAACTCTATATGCTTATTTTCACATACATATGCCAAGAATTTCTCAAAAGTCAGAATAGATTTTTTTGAGCAAAAAATGAAAGTTCTTACCTTTGGAGAAATAATGGAAAAGTATCGCTGGCCACTCTCCCGTTGATAAAGATAGTAAATATTGCCAGGCTTTTTCACCATGTTACAAGCTATGTGGTGCAAGTCAGCATCTCTGCGGGCTTCTTCCAGAACCTGTAACCCACAAGGGTGCAATGTGTAAAGGAACAGAAGTAACAGGCCCTCCTGGAGGTCATCCCAGTGAAAACCTGGAAACTGTTCAATGTTCAGGATCTTGCTCCCCCAGAGCCATGAATCATTGCTGGGGTCCAGGTGGTTCTGAAGAAATAAAAATTAGATGACTGCTACTGTGCTGAAAAATGCCTTTCTTTTATGCATTTGGTACAGGGTCTCACTACGCAGCTCAGACTCATAGTGATCTTCCTGTTTTCAGCTTCCCCACCACTGGGATTACAGGTGTGGGCCACCACAACCAGACTAGTGGCTCACCAGGCCCAGGAGTGGGGCCAGCAAGCCTTTGCATGGCATGTGCTTCTGAGTGAAAAATGCCTTTGGAGAAAATGTATTTCAAAGTGTTGAATATCTCTGGCCTTGGGTAACTCTTAAGTTTCTTTTTTGTGTTAAGAACATTCATTTCTGGGGCTGGAGAGATGGCTCAGTGGTCTAAAGCACCTACTTAGAACAAGTTCAGTGAAGCACAGGGACCACGGTTCAATCCCCCAGCACCACATGCCAGCCAGCCCGCCCCCTGGTGGGCTGAGCTG